CAGTATGGATTGTGCACAGTATAGATTGTGCACAGGACAGATTGTGCACAGTATAGATTGTGTATAATATGGATTGTGTACAGGACAGATTGTGTATAATACAGTATAGGTTATGCATAGTATAGATTGTGCACAGGACAGATTGTGCACAGTATAGATTGTGCACAGTATAGATTGTGCACAGCATAGATTGTGCACAGTATAGATTGTGTACAGGACAGATTGTGCACAGTATAGATTGTGCACAGCATAGATTGTGCACAGGACAGATTGTGCACAGTATAGATTGTGCACAGTATAGATTGTGTACAGGACAGATTGTGTACAGTATAGATTGTGTTCATACAGTCAGATTGTGTACAGGCAGATTGTGCACAGTATAGATTGTGCACAGGACAGATTGTGCACAGTATAGATTGTGTATAATATGGATTGTGTACAGGACAGATTGTGTATAATACAGTATAGGTTATGCACAGTATAGATTGTGCACAGGACAGATTGTGCACAGTATAGATTGTGCACAGTATAGATTGTGCACAGGACAGATTGTGCACAGTATAGATTGTATATAATATGGATTGTGTACAGGACAGATTGTGTATAATACAGTATAGGTTATGCACAGTATAGATTGTGCACAGGACAGATTGTGCACAGTATAGATTGTGCACAGTATAGATTGTGCACAGGACAGATTGTGCACAGTATAGATTGTATATAATATGGATTGTGTACAGGACAGATTGTGTACAGTATGGATTGTATATAATATGGATTGTGTACAGGACAGATTGTGTATAATACAGTATAGGTTATGCACAGTATAGATTGTGCACAGGACAGATTGTGTACAGTATGGATTGTGCACAGTATAGATTGTGCACAGTATAGATTATGCACAGTATAGATTGTGTACAGGATAGATTGTGTACAGTATGGATTGTGCACAGTATAGATTGTGCACAGTATAGATTGTGCACAGTATGGATTGTGCACAGGACAGATTGTGCACAGTATAGATTGTGCACAGTATAGATTGTGCACAGGACAGATTGTGCACAGGACAGATTGTGCACAGTATAGATTGTGCACAGGACAGATTGTGCACAGTACAGATTGTGTATAATATGGATTGTGTACAGGACAGATTGTGTATAATACAGTATAGGTTATGCACAGTATAGATTGTGCACAGGACAGATTGTGCACAGTATAGATTGTGTACAGGACAGATTGTGTACAGTATGGATTGTGCACAGTATAGATTGTGCACAGTATAGATTGTGTACAGGACAGATTGTGTACAGTATGGATTGTGCACAGTATAGATTGTGCACAGGACAGATTGTGCACAGTATAGATTGTGCACAGTATAGATTGTGCACAGTATAGATTGTGCACAGGACAGATTGTGTACAGTATGGATTGTGCACAGTATAGATTGTGCACAGGACAGATTGTGCACAGTATAGATTGTGCACAGTATAGATTGTGCACAGTATAGATTGTGCACAGGACAGATTGTGCACAGTATAGATTGTGCACAGTATAGATTGTGCACAGGACAGATTGTGCACAGTATAGATTGTGCACAGGACAGATTGCGTGCAGGACAGATAGTGCACCCTCTGTGTGCACACTTCCCTCTCAGGCCGCAGGGCTCCAAAGCACAGGGCCCCGTTGGGACACATCACACCACCCACAGCCTCAGCCACCCGGTCACCCCTAACGCGCCCTCCACACAGGGATTCCGCAGCCTGGGGTCCCGGAGCCAGGCCCTCACGGGTTAAGGAGGCCGTGGGCACAGGGTGGCGGGACAGAGGAGCCTGCGCTAATTGGCAGCCCGGGAACAAAGAGGGCTGGAACCGGGTGGCTTAATTGGGCCAGGAAGCGGCCTGGCCTTTGTCTGAGGCTGGGCCCCGCCGGCCGCGCGGTGCCCGCAGCCGAACTGAACTGGGGCTCCAGCTGTGACCCAGCGGAGCGCTCCGGGGGCCCGGGCGGGGCCGTGCGGGCGGGAGGCGGGGAGATGGGCTGCACACTGCGGCCTGGGGCCTCTGGGTTCTCCCCGCCCCGCCCTTGCTGCGACCCTCGGGGTTGGTTCCCACTGGCCCTGGCCCCTCCGGGCCGGTGCTTCCCCCTGGCGTCCGCAGCTCGCTCCGCAGGCGCTGGGACCCCGCGGCCTTCCTCCCCCTCCTCCCGGACGTGCGGCCCGTGGGAAACTCCAAGAGGCCAGCGCTCCTGCTGCTCTTCGGGTCTTGGAAGCGTTTGTTGTTGTTTCTTCCCCAAACCTTGTCGAATAAATACACTGTCCATGAGGGATTCTACCTGAGCCGAGAAAGGACCTGGACGGCATGCCCCTTCGCTGTTCCCCGCCGGCAGGGGCGCGGCGCCCACTCTGGGGCCGGGACAGACTCCCTGGCCGGACCCCAGCGAAGGCAGCGAGGTCCGGGGCCGCCCCTCCCCGGGAAAGGCCGCACCGTCCTCTTTCCCGGCGGCTGTGCGGGCCCAGGAAGCTGTCAGTTCCGCCTCCACCTCCACCCTCTCTCCCTGTCCCGTCCCTGGTGCCCCTGGTGGACTGAGGGCAGTGCCCGCCGCCCTCCGAAGTCCCAGGCGGGCAGCCTGCGGTGCCAGGGTCACAGCCTCCTGAGGCTCAGAGAGGAGGGGACTGGGGCTCTGGGTAAAGAGATCAGACCCATGGTGGCCAGAGGGGAGGGTTGGATGACAGCATGGACCTGGTGAAGGGGTGAGAAGCACAAATCTGGGGGATGTGAAGCGCAGCGCAGGGAAGGGATAGAGTCAGTGCTGTTGTGATAACTATGCGTGGTGCCAGGTGGAAACCACTTTGGAAGGTATGATTGCCTAACCACTAGGCTGTACACTGGAAACGAATAGAAAATAGTACAGAATGAAAAAAAAAAAAAAAAGGTCACTGCCCAAGTTTGGCTCAGTGGATAGTGTTGGTTTGCGGACTGTTAGACCTCGGCCCGCTGACCGGCAGCTCCCCAGGACGCCTGGCCTCCTCTGGGAGGAAGACCACAGGGTGCTCGCCGCCCGGCCCTCCCCAGGCCTGTCTGTGACCTGCGGTCCCGGACTTCGGATTTCGTGGAGGAGCTGCGGTGCCTGCAGGAGGAGGACGGAGAGGTGGCCCTGGGGGCCCTGTGTAGCAGCCGCCGCCGCCACCGCCCCCGCGGCCGGGCGCCCTCCTAAGGGCCGTCCCTTCCCGAACTTGGGGTGGGGCCCTGAGTCTTTTAACCTGGCGTCAGGTTTTAGAGACCCCTCAGGAGTTCTGGCTGCGACTAACCACTCCCTCCCCAGTCTTGGCAAAACTGTAACTAGTGATGTTTGTACAACCAAAGACTCTATTTTGTGGTTTAAAGAAATAAAATTGACTACATTAAAAAAAAAAAAAAAGTCAATGCCGAAACCAGTTTGGCTCAGTGGATCTCTATCCTGTTTCCACCTGTTGGTTTGCGGACTGAAGGCTCCCGGGTTTGATTCCGGTCAAGGGCATGTACCTTGGTTGCGGGCACATCCCCAGTAGGGGGTGTGCAAGAGGCAGCTGATGGATGATTCTCTCTCATAGATGTTTAACTCTCTATCCCTCTACCTTCCTCTCTGTAAAAAATAAAATATATATTTTTAAAAAGTCACACAAAAAAAGAGAGAACTGGGGGCTCAGTGATGGAGAGACCATTGCAAGGGGGGGGGTTGAGAGAGAGACTGATGGTCTAGTTCCTACCCCTTTCCACAGCTGATGCCTACTGTTGGGGGGGGGGGGGCCGAGGCGGGGCGAGGGGGGGCAGGAGGCGGCTGTCCTGGCCGCAGTGTCTGGGGAAGGATCAGCCTCGTGGAGACGGACCCAGTGGGACCCCCAGAGAAAGTCCCCGCCGGGCCCATTGGGACACAGGGGAAACCGAGGCAGGAGAGGAATGGCCAATTGGCTGCACGCCCCACACTCCGAGGGAGTCAGGAAAGTCACTCGGGAGAACTTTCAGGCTGAACGTTGCCGCGGGAGTCAGCAGCCTCGGGGCTGGGAAGGTAGCGATGGGAAAGAGCTCCAGGGTCTGCGGTATTCGGGGGACCACGGCCAAACCTCTCCTCGGAGGAGAGGGCCACCCACCTGGCCAGCCCCACCTCCTCAGGAGCTGGAAGGGGTCGCCTTTCCTCTAGACCCCCCCCCCCCCAAAGGGAGCCGGAGTCCCGGAGTGGGCGAGTGGCCAGTAGAGGGAGCCCGGGCCCCGGCCTGGCCGGGTCCGCGCTGGGGGCTCCGGGCGGCCCAGCCCCGGCCCAGCGCCCCGCCGCCCCGCCGGGCGCCCCCCTTCCGTCTCCCTCCAGCCCCGCCGCCCCAGCCCCGCGCACCACAGAGCGCACGCCGCCGTTCACTTCGCACTGCAGCGTTTTATTGTTTTCTCGCGTTTTATTGTTTTGTCTCTTTTTTTGTTTGCTTGTTTGTTTTTGTTGTTGTTTCATCTCGCTCCGCTCCGGAGAGAAAAGTGAAAACCTGAGGTGGAGCCCGCAGGCCAGGCGAGCACGGCCCGGGGCCGGGGCCGGGGCCGGGGGCCGGGGCCAGGGGCAGAGGGGCCTCTTCCGGGGCGGGGCCTCCTCCTGCCGCCGAGGGCCCCCCCCCCCGCCCTGTACAATATAGATGCTCACGTAAAATGGAAAAAAAATTAAATGCTATGAGTTAATCTCTACATAGTATGTACACAGCAATGTACACCTTTGAATAAATTAATACCAATTTGCATATTCTGGGAATCTTAAAGCATATTTACACAAATTACCATTTATTTCATAAATATCTTTTTTTTCTCCCTCTCCCTGGGGACTCAAGTGCCACTCCCTCCGCTGACCCAGGGGTGGCAGGGGCTCCTGCCTCTTGGGGGAAGGGGGGGGGTGCAAGGATGGAAAGAAACGGCCCCTCCCTGCCCCGGGCTGCACTGACCTTAGGCTTCCCGGACCCGGGCATCCCTCAGCCCGGCTCTCAGGCGGCGCAGGCGGGAGGCCGGGGCCTCTGGGCCGCCCTCGGAAGCTCCTGCCCTGACCCTGCACCTTCTGGCTCCCGAAGAGACCGCTGGGCTGGGGGCGAGGGCTCCCCGCAGCGCAGGGGGACCCGGGCGGGGCCCCCCACGGTGCCCCCGGGGCCCTGGAGCAAACCCGGACCGAGGCCAGGGGCCCCGGAGCCACTGTGACGCCGGAGGAGGGCCAGGGTCCCAGCCCCGTGGCTGGCCGGGCTCCATCCTTTGCTTAAATAAATACCATTCTGTGCGGGCCGGTCCCCAGCGGCGGGAGCGGAGCCGGGAGGGAGGCCAGCGGGCGGCCGTCACTTGGGAGAGTCCCGGCCGGGCGAGAGGGCGCGCTGGCTCTCCAGCCCGCTCACCAGCCGCTGGATGCTCTGCAGTTCGCTGGCCGCCTCCTTGGCCGCGCCGCCGGGGGACGGGGCGCCGCGGGGCTGCGCGCCCGCCTTGCGGAGGGCCAGCTCGGGCAGCGGGCTGGGCTCGCGGCTGCCGCCCGCCGCCTTGGGGCCCTCGGCCGCCAGCCCGGCGGCCAGGAGGCCGGCGCCGGGCGGGAGGGTGACGGGGACCTGGTAGGGGCTGAAGCGCAGGCGGGGCCGGGCGCCGCCCAGGAAGGGGCTGCGGGAGAGGGAGCCCGCGGCGGCGGCGGCCGCGGCGGCCGCACTGGTGGCCGGCAGAGCGGAGGCGGCGGCGGCCGCGGCGGCCATGTAGGTGTAGGGGTAGGGGAAGAGGCCTCCGAAGGTGGGCATCGGGATTCCCTGGAAGAAAAAGGACACACAGAGGTTAGGCACCCGCCTGGGTGCTGGCGGGCTGCAGGGAGGCTCCATCCGTCCCCTCTTTGGGAGCAGAGGCCGGAGCGCACAGAACTCTGCCCCCCCGCAGCCTCGGGGAGGGAGCACTCACACACGGGAGCACTCACACACAGGCAGAATCAGGGCTCAGATCCCACCTCCGGCCCCGAACTCTACCTTCCCGTTAGGCACGAGGCGCAGGCCCACGGCCAAACCCAGGGAGAAGGGGAGCACCCGTCAAGCTGACAGAAAGCTCGGTGCCAGTCTGCGGAAGGGAAGGACATGCCAGGCAAAGGCCCAGAGGGAGGAAACGGGGCAGGCGTGGGTCCAGGTGGCACGCGGGCGGCGGCTATGGTTGTCTTGGAAGTTCTGCTCACTTGGGACAGTGTCCTCCCCAGCCCTGCTCTCCGCAGGTGCCCCGAGGGTGGAGGGAGCACAGCATGGGGGAATGGGGGGGAGCTCTGTCACGTAGCCCTCTGCCTGCCCACCTGCTCAGAGGCCTCTGCCCAGGCCAGGCAGAGGCACAGGTGCCAATCAGTTTATAGACTGGCCCGAATATCCCATAAAGAACTGGCGGCACCTCAAGGAATGCGGTCTTTGCCTGAGGAACCACGTACGGTGGCCAGGAAACCTTGGACAAACACCACCTGAGTCCACGAGGCCCTTGGCTTTTGGATTATGTGACCTTTGAAATGATGGCTCCGGCCCCAGAGTCTGTGGGTACAGGGAGGAGGGCAGGGAGCGGGCTGTGCTTGGGGCTGCTGGAGAGACCCAGGCCTGGCTCAGGCGGGAAGAGAAAAAAAAAAGTAGCTTAGTCAGAAATGAAAAGGTATCCTTCCCAGGAGGTCAAGCCCTACTGGGCACTCAGACCTGGCATCCCACGTTGGAAGGGAGGTTGGCATCGGCTCTCCTCACTGGCACAACCTGGTGGCCAGGGGTGGGCTGCCCTCTTGGGTACCTAACTCCCAGCCATGCACCAAGGGATGCCTCCTGAGTGCTGAGTGCTCTCCCCCCGGCCTGGCACCTGTTGACGAGGCTGTGTCTAGACGCCATGACTTCCCCGTGACCTCTACAATGCCAATGCTGGTCACCGGAACTTGTCTGGGGAGGATGCATCCACATACATGCAGAATCAAGGGCTCAGATCCCACCTCCAGGCCCTGAACTCTATTTTCCAGATGCTTCCTTGCCAGCTCAGAGCCCTAGTTAGTGCCTCCAACATTCACCCGCCCCGTAAAAAAAAAAAAAAAAAAAAAAAAAAAGTTTTTCACGCCTATTTAAAAAAAAAAAAAAAACTATTTCAGCGCCTCCTCCCTCACTTTAAAAAATGTTTGCTTCTGAACCAAAGGAGCCTCCTCAGACCCGAACTCCTATTTTCCTTCCCGTCAGATATGATCTCGAGGGTTCAATTTGCCAGAAACCTCAGAGGGGAGAAAACGAATGAAGAGAATCCAAATCTTTCCACAGGGACTATTCCGCCCGAGCAACCGAAGAGGCCACGCACCTCATCGGATCTCCTTGTTTTGCCGCGGGCCCCAGTTTAATAAACACTCCCCTGGGAGCTCAGAATTCCAACCCGGCCCCAAAGGGAGCTCCTTCACCCCCCCCCCCCCCCAGCTGTGTGGCCGGGGAGTGTGGAGGCCCGAGGGGGACCAGGAACAGCCCTGTCCTTGGGCAGGTCAGAGGACTTCCTGGGAGTGTGGAGGCCCGAGGGGGACCAGGAACAGCCCTGTCCTTGGGCAGGTCAGAGGACTTCCCGGGGGGCCTGGAGAGCACCTCTGTTGGTGGTCAGTTACCCAGGAAATATCGGACAATAGTTCCCTCCTTTGTCCAGCTACCTTGGCCTTTCAGGGACCAACAGGGAGCCAGGAGTCTTTGTTCCCAAGGAAAGTAGACTCCCCAAAAGCCAGGGGCAGCCCCAGTCGGTCAAACAGGAAGAATCTAACGGGTGCTTCAGTTTGTTGTTACTAATAGGGGAGGAAATGGGCCCAGAGAGGGCCTGGGACTGGCCCAAGGTCACACAGGAGTCAGAGGAGCACCCTGGCCAGACCCTGGACCTACAGCCGTGGTATCCCTGGAGTTCGAATCCTAGAGAGTGTCTACCGGGTCTTCCCGGGACAGGGTCCTTACCCACCGCAGCACCTCCAGCCCCGTGCCCGCCCCAGCCGCCCTCCATCGCGATGCCACAGGAGCCCGGGCCTCACCTGAGATGCCAGCATGTGCTGGGAGAGGTGGAACGGGAAGGGCGCGGTGCTTGCTGCGCTGACGGTGGGGCCCAGCCCGCTTGTGTCCAGCCCGGTGGCGGCCCCCGGTCCGCCTCCGCCGCTGCCACCGCCTGCCACCGAGGCCAGCAGGTGGCCCATGCCCATGGCGGAGAAGGCCCCAGGGCCCATGGCGAACTGTCCCGGGTGCAGGAAGAGCGGCTGGCCGGCCCCCAGGGGCCCGAAGAACTGCTGCCCGTGCAGGTGGCCGGAGAACGCCAGTCCCGGGAGGTGCCCGGTGCCCAGGGGGGACGCGCTGTCCGTCTGTACCACCAGCGGTGCCAGGCCGGGCTCCTTGCCCTCCCCCGCCTCCTTGCGCCCCTCGTCCTTCCTCCTGGCTTCCGCCCGCTCCTTCTCCAGGCTCCGCAGGCCGAACGGGCTGTCCCCGCCGCTCTCCGCCGGCTCCTTGCCCCGCTCCGGGCTGTGGCGCTCCCGGCTGCGGCTGCGGCTGTGCTCGGGGTCGGGCAGGCGCGGGGGGCTGCCGCCGTCCAGGCCCGGGCCCGCGCGCTCCTCGCTCAGCCTCTCGGGCTCCGGGTCGCTGTCTGCGGCGAACGACTTGTCTTCGGCTGCAGGGGAGAGAGGACAAGGTGACAGGGGCCGGCTGCATGGGAGAGAGGACAGGGGGACGGGGGCCGGCTGCAGGGGAGAGAGGACAAGGTGACAGGGGCCGGCTGCAGGGGAGAGAGGGCAGGGGGACGGGGGCCGGCTGCAGGGGAGAGAGGACAGGGGGACGGGGCCAGCTGCAGGGGAGAGAGGGCAGGGGACAGGGGCCGGCTGCAGGGGAGAGAGGGCAGGGGACAGGGGCCGGCTGCAAGGGAGAGAGGACAGGGGGACGGGGGCCAGCTGCAGGGGAGAGAGGACAGGGGGACAGGGGCCGGCTGCAGGGGAGAGAGGACAGGGGGACGGGGGCCGGCTGCAGGGGAGAGAGGACAGGGTGACGGGGGCCGGCTGCAGGGGAGAGAGGGCAGGGGACAGGGGCCGGCTGCAGGGGAGAGAGGACAGGGTGACGGGGCCGGCTGCAGGGGAGAGAGGGCAGGGGACAGGGGCCGGCTGCAGGGGAGAGAGGGCAGGGTGACGGGGCCGGCTGCAGGGGAGAGAGGACAGGGGGACAGGGGCCGGCTGCAGGGGAGAGAGGACAGGGGGACAGGGGCCGGCTGCAGGGGAGAGAGGGCAGGGGACAGGGGCCAGCTGCAGGGGAGAGAGGACAGGGGGACGGGGGCCGGCTGCAGGGGAGAGAGGACAGGGGGACAGGGGCCGGCTGCAGGGGAGAGAGGACAGGGGGACGGGGGCCGGCTGCAGGGGAGAGAGACAGGGGGACGGGGGCGGGGGACAGTCAGGGCTCTCCCTGTCTGGGCGGGTCCGGGAGACCTGGAAAAGCCCGCTGTCTGGGGGAGCAAGTGGAAGGCTTCTGATCCTGGGGGGCCAGGGGCGGTGGCAGGTCACTAGTCCAGACCCCTCTGCACCAGGAGGAACTGAGCCTCCTGGTTCCCTCTCCTGCCAGCGGCTGGGGCCCAGGAACGCAGCCGGCAGTCCAGCGGGATCTGCTGGTCTCAGGGACCGGTCCCCAGGGGCGTCCAAACCCCAGGCGCCTCCCAGGGCCCCCGAGGCTGCCCTGACTCGGAGCAAAGAGCCAGCCGAGCTCTGGGGGCACCCTCCGCCCCCCTCCCCCGCCTGCGGGCGGCGTGGCCCCTCACCTCGGGTCCGGTGCAGGCGGAGGGGGCTGGGGGCCGCCCCCGGGGACGGCGGCGGGTCCCGCGCGGGGGGAGGGTCGCAGGACGAGGCGTCGGACTCGGCGCCATCGCGCTCCGGCTTGCAGTGCTCCTCGTACAGGCGCAGGGAGGGCAGCGTCAGCTGCTTCCTGGGGGCGCACGGGGGGGGGGGGAGCACACGGCTCAGACGGGAGCGCGCCCACCCACGTCCCGCTGCAGCTCCCGCGGGGATGGGTCCCGCCCGGGATGGGTCCCGCACACCCGCACCTTTTCTCCCTCCGGCCGTTCCCCGTGTCCCGGAAGCCCTTGGCGAAGGGGTTGTTGTCGATCTTCAGCTGTGTGATCTGCAGGGACCGAGAGGGCAGTGCCAGGTCAGGGTGCAGCTCTTCCGGCCTGGCCTGGGGCACCCGGCGGGCAGCAGCTCGGAGGAGCGCCGGGAGTGTCCCCTGGATACCCTCCCCCTGGGATGCACAGCCCTGAGCCCGAAGGCCCGGTGTGGCCGGCCGGCGGGCCTCTCCGAAAGCCACAGGTCTCTCCCCGAGGTGCACACACAGGCCCGAGGCTGCGGCACAGCGTGGCTCTGTCCCTGCACGCCCGCAGGCACAGCGGGCACCGGAGCAGGCAGCGGGGCACATAAAACACAGGCCACGCTCACGGCCCGCACACGCAGACACACCAAGTGCCTGCAGAACAAACATGTAAACATGCCTCCACACGCCCCAAACGGTGCACGCACACTGGAGCGTACACATGGGTTCACAGGCTCACAAACACGGACAGGAGGACGGGCAGGACACCCGCACACACTCGTTCACCGGGGAGTTCGACACCGATCGGACCGACCGGGCGCTGCTTTGGCCCTTCAGGACGAGGGAGCAGAAAGCGGGGTGGGGCTGGGCGTGGGGGAGGCTTGGCTGGAAGGAAAAGTCTCTAAGTGGCCCAGGGCCTGGACGGGCCCAAAGGTGGTGGCCTGGGGTGGGGGGGGCTGTCACCTGCCCGATCTCTGGCCACCCCCGGGGAGAGTGAGAACTGGGCCCCGGGTTCTTAGCGTGGAGAGCGCCCGCCCGCCCGCCCGGGCACACTGCCTAGGGCCGCTCTCTCTTCATTTAAATCCCCATCCCGGAGCCAAGAAATAAACGAATGAAATGTAAAATTGTCAGCGGCCCGGTCTCTGCTAATTGCTAAGTAAACATCTCCGCAGGCGGGAGCGCCCAGCTGTTGGCTCCCCGGTAGCGTGTCTGCGCTGTGGGCTCGGGAGGGGCCGGGGGCTCACAGAGGGAGACCCGGTGCGGGGAGCGGCCCGGAGCGGGAGGCTGGGCAGGAGCGGGGCGGATGGATGCACACGGGGTGCTGGAGCCTGGTGCGAGCGGGAACGCTCTGGGGGGCACCTTGTCGTTCTGGTAGGCGGTGACGGCGATGAAGTCGGTCTCGGGGAACACGTAGGTGCGGAAGGTGCTGTAGGGCAGCTTCAGGATGTCGTTGGCCCTCACAATGTGGAAGCGAGGCTGGTACTTGTGCATGGAGTTCAGGATGGTCTGCGGGGAGCGTGTGGTCAGCGTCGGCCCCCGCCTTCCCGGAGCATTCTCCGGGGACCCCACCTCTCCCACACGGCTCTGCTTTCCCCACACCCCTCCCCTCCCTTTGCTATTTCTCCTGCGTGTGTTCCCCCAACCCTGCTCTTTTTTTCTCTCGTTTGTAATTCTTTTCAGCCTATTTTCTCTTTATCACAGTTTCTCTCTCCGTTTAAAAATATTTCCCCGAGGTGAAAACAGAAACGAAACAACGTAAAAACCCTCCACTCTCCACTCTGCTCTCCACCCCGCTCCCTAGGCTCACTGCTCAGCCCCAGAAAGCCCAGGCAGAGAGGATGGGAACTCGGAGGGCTCACCAGCGGTCCTAACCAGGACTAGGCAGTCCCCTTGCCCCCCGGACTCCCCTCCCTCCGGGGAGCTGGGCCCCGGCTTAGGCGGAAGCAGAGGGAACCTCCAAGTGGGGAGAGGGAAGGGGTCTCCGGGAGGGCAGGGAGGGCCGGAGGTAACGTTTAAATCTCCTCATTTGGACGAGGAAAGGGGAAAACAAGCTGAGGTCATGGGCAGGTCTTCCAAGCTCAACACCTAGAGACCCTAAACCGCACCCGCACCCACTGGTCTCCAGGAAGGGCTTTCCCAAGGCCTGACCAAGCCCAGACGGTGAGCGGCCTGGGACTTACCGGCCCCGGCCCTGCCATTCCGGGGCTCACAGAGCACAGCCATCCGGCGGGGCCCAGGCCCAGCCGCAGAAACCACAGGGCGGGAGACCTGGAAGGAGCACCCCGGGATTCTGCCGGCGCTCCCCTCTGGGGAACTGGCCTGCCTCTCGCTTGGACCCTGGGCTGCGGTGCTAGGTGCGGCCTCCGGCCCCCCAGCCCCATGCCTGCCCCACACTCACGAAGCCGTGCTTGTCGGAGATGTTGTTGGTCAGCTTCAGCTTGTGGAAGGCCACCGGCTTGGCCATCCACTGCTCCCCCGTGGCCGGGCTGTCCGGGTGGATGTACATGCGCTTGGGCATCTCGGGGTCGGCCTTGCCGGCCACCATCCAGCGGGAGTTGTGGAATTTGTAGCGGCAGTCGTCGGCGGCCACGATGTCCATCAGCAGGATGTACTTGGCCTTCTTGTCCAGGCCGCTGACTCGCACCTTGAAGGGAGGAAACATCCGCCTGCAAGGAAGGGAAAGGGGAGACTCCGTGGGGCCCGGCTCCGGGTCCCTGGACTCTCTCCCTGGGGACACACACCGCATCTGGGTTTCCTTCTGCCCCCTTACTGCTGCCTGGGGGACCCCACCTGTGGCTGTTTCCGTGAAAAAAAAAAAATCCTATTCCTTGTTAGACCCTAGGCTCGGGTCTAGGAACCCTCTCACCCTCATCTGAGAGGACAGCCAATGTCCAGGCAGGAAATCCAGACCCTCTGAAAACACAGCCGCTCCGCCTGCTCTGTCCCCAGCTCCGGGGACAGCAGCTCCGGGAAGGGAATGCCCTCAGAGGGTGTGAGTGTGGGGACCTGGGTGGCAGTGCCCAGCAAGGGCCCTGACCCTCCTATTCCAGGGAAGAGGGCAGCCTGCGGCCTGGGCTGGGCTGGTGGCAGGGCGGAGGGGTGCGGGCGGCAGCTGCCTTTTGGCGGTAAGGCCTGGCCGAGGTGTCCGGAGCTCCTTGCTCCTAGGCCCCGGGGAGGCGCCGGGCCGGGCCGGGCCAGGGCTGCGGTTGGGCTGGCTCCGCTGTGCTGACCCGAACGGTCCTGAGGGGCAGCCTGGGTCTAGCAGGGTGCGGGGGCCTTTCTGGGCTCCAGGGTGGGAAGAAAGTCCGGGAGGCGCCGGGTCTCCCCAGCTCCACGCCAGACCGGGAGGCGGAGAGCCAGGCCGCGAGGCTCCGTGGCAGCCGAGACCTCGGAGCCCCGCCGGGGCCCAGCCGCGGGGCCGGGAAGGGTTGGAACTCTTCTTTCGGAGCACGTTTTCGTTTTACTTCATTCGGGAGAGTTTGCTGGTTTCGTTCTTTAAATGTCGCTCGGTGCCAGAGGAGAAAAGTCACTTGGTTGTCGGTGGAGCTGAGCGCGGCGCCGGCCCGGCCGGGAGGGAGCGCCGGGCAGGCTCAGCGCGGCGGGTGCTGCGGGCCCCCCAGCCCGCCCGCCAGCGCCCCCCGGCCCGCCGGCCGCCCTACCTCCCGGACTTGGTGATGACCATCTCGGTGCCCAGCTTGTGGAACTGGTCCCACAGCTCCTTGGCCTCCAGCGTCACCTTGGGGTCGTCCTCCACCTCGTCCTCGGGCTCCAGGCTCTTGAGCGAGCGCAGATGCGCGGCGGGCGGGTGCGGGCCGAGTGCCGAGACGTGCAGCCCCGCCTCGGCCGCCGCCGCTGCCGCCGCCGCCGCGGCCGCCGCCCCCGCCAGGCCCGGGTCCGGCAGCGGCTTGGCCAGCGCGCCGGGCGGCAGCGCGAGCGCCGGGAAGAAGGAGGGCTGCGCCGCCGCCAGGAAGGCGGACATGGGGAAGTCGGCCGGCCGCGGCGCGTGGAACGGGTGGTAAGCCATGGCGCTGGCCGCCAGCGCCGGCTCTCTCATCGGGACATCCGGCCCGGGCGCCCGGGGGCCGGGGGACCGGGGCCGGGGCCGGGGGCGCGGGGCTGGGACCCCCGGCCCGGGCGGCGGCGCGCGGGCGGCGGGCGCGGCGGCGGCTCCTCCCGCTCCGGCCCCGGCCCGCGGCGAGGGGCGCGGGCTGCGCGCGGGGGCGGCGGCGGGGGCTCCGCGCGGGGCCGGGCTGGGCTGGGCTGGGCCGCTCCGGCGCCGGCGACCACGCGCGACTGGTCAGATCTTGTCGTGATCTCTGGGAAACTGTGACTATCTCACATGTCCTGCCCTGCCCGGATCCCCTGCGCTAACGAGCCAGGCCCCCCTTGATTGCTGATTTTACGCTTTTTGGACCAATTGTGGGTCTCCGGGGGCGGGGTTTTGACAGCTCAGGCCAAGCTCCGGCCGGGAGGGGGGGCCGGGGAGAAGGTGTCGGAAGCCTCAGCAGTAAGAAAACATGTCAACAGAATAAAATATTAACCAATGACGGGCCAGCGGGCCCGGAGACCCCTCCCCCTGCCCCGGCCCCCACCCCGCGCCCGAGCCCGAGGCCGCCTGCGCCCGGACCGGGAGCGCGGCCGGCCGATCCGACCCGCCGCCTAATGGGCTCGAGGCGAGGGGCGCCCCGGCTTCAGGGCCCCGAGAAAGGACCCCCCGCCGCTCGCCCGCCCCAAGTGCAAAGCATTGACACGGCCCCGAGAGGAGAGGGGGCGCCCTCCGCCCGCGTCCGGCGGCCCGGACGCTCCGGCCCGCTCCGCGGCGTGGCCTCCGACCCCGCTGCCGGCGCCGCCCGCCCGGCCGGCTCCGGGGGAGCCGCGGGCGCCGGGGAGAGCGGCCGGGGGCGGGCGCGGCCCGGAGAGGACGCCCGTGGCGGAGCCGGTGAGTGGGGCGCCGTGGGCGGGAGCGGGGCGCGCGGCCTTGCACTAGGGGATCCCCGAGCCCGCGCCCCCGTTCCCAGACTCAGGAGGGACTTGGGAGTTCTGGGCCCCGACCCAGACCCGGGCCCTCCGAGGGCTGCTCGGGGCCGGGAAGGGAGCGCACCTTTCGCCCGGCACCAGGCGGCCCATCCCGGCCCCGGGTTCTTGACCCGCAACCCAGCTCGTTTTCGCCGCATCCGGTACCGGAGACAAAAGCCTCCCTCATCCCAAACGCAGGCACCCTCCCTCCGCTCCCGCCGCTGTCTCCAGGCCCGGGGTGCGGGCGGCGGGAGTGGAAGCGGGGCGCACCTGCGGCGGATCGCGCCCCTGCGGGCGGCGGATCGCACGTGTGTTCGGCCGCAGGTGCGCCATCCAGTCCGGGGTTCCAACAGCCCCAGGACCCCCACCCCGGTGTGTGTGTGTGTATCTCTGTGTGTCTGTGTTTCTCTGTATGTGTTTGTGTGTGTCTGTGTGTTTGTGTGTGTCTGTATGTGTGTGTATGAGAGTGTGTGTGTTTGTGTATATGAGAGAGTGTGTGTGTGTGTGTGTGTGTGTGTGTGTGTGTGAGTGTGAGTGACGCCCGGTGTGATGGTGCCCTCTGCGCAGTGGGAGCAGCCCCTGGAGGCGCTGCCAGCGGGGCGGCCACACACCTGCTAGGCGCCGACACTCAGCCTGGTCTGTCGCTCCCGCCGCACAGCCAATGGGGTGCGGGGGAGCCCGGGGGCACAGGCCCTGAGCCCGCACCCAGCGGCGTCCCGGCCGCCGTGCCATCCTCTGCGCGCACCGGGCTCCGGGCACCTTGTCGCCGCGCACTTGGTGCCGGCTCACCCCGAGCATGTTGGGCTCAGGACCGCCGGAGCCCTTGGACCTCCGCGACCATTTTTCCCCCTGTTGTCCCACCCGGTTCCGGTGTTCTCGGACACCCCTACCCAGCACTCAAAGGGGCGGCGCCCCCACACCGGGTTTTTCTTCTCCACCTCGCTCCCCGGCGGGTGGGTCGCTCCTCGGGGGGTGGGTTGCGCCTCACTTGGTGCCTCTTTTCTGTCCAGAACGAATCCTCGCCTCCGCGCCATGCCGTCTACGCAGCCGGGGCGGGATCCGTTGCAGCTCTGAGCCTGGAAAGCCCTGCCGGGTCCACCTCAGGCCGGACGTGGCCCCCGAGGAGGGGATGTGTGTGGACAGGTTTGCGCAGTCCGCGAGGTGACCCGGTAACAGCCGGGTTCCGGGGACCGGCCTGGAAACCCGTGCATTACATTCGCAGCGTCGTGCATGTGCACGCACTTTCGTACTTGCAAGAATGTGTGTGCACCTAACTGTGCCATCGGGATAGTTTCCTGGGAAGGTCCGTGACTGGTCCAGGGGTCCCAGGCCCAGAGAGCTTGGACTGGATTATTTTTGCCCGAGACCAGGCCCCAGGAACTGGACCGCCGGCCTTCCTTCTGGCGGCCACAGGCTTGTTCTGGGCCCAGGCCCCGCAGTCTGCCCTGTCCCCCCTCCCGCAGGGAACCCAAGGTTTTGCTACAGCCACTCTCCAGATTCTGAATGTGCACCCTCCCCTCCTCCCCTCTGCAAACTCTCCAGCGAGGAATGTCCTTGGCTCTGGGGAGGCTCACTCAGCAGCGCCCCCTCCTTCCCGGCCCCTCCCCCCGGGCCCACCCCACTTCTCCCCCCCCCCCCCCCGGAACTGGAGCCTCTGAGGGGTCCCCAGGCTGAGAGAGCGTGTCTCTTTAAGAGGCGGGGGGGGGGGGGCGCCTTGCGAGCCGCCGGGGGCCGGAGGGGGAGGGCGCGGGCGGGGGCGGCTGGCGCCAGGCGGCCCCGGCTCCACAACAAAGCTCCGGCCCCTGTCACTTCGCATCGGCCGGGCCCCGCAGACGGGCGGGCGGGGGACGCGCCCCGCGGCCCCCCTCCCCCGGGTCCTCTGGGCGGCGGCGTCGGGCGGGCGCGGCTCGGGCCGGGGTCCCCGCGCGCGCTCCGTGCGCCCCGCGCTTCCGCTCGAAGGAAACCCCGCGGGGCAGCCCGGGCGGGCTGGGCTTCCCTTCCCGGCAGGCCCCGGCCCCTTAACCTCTGGGAGGTCCTGGGCCACTGCTAGGACCTTCCCTGAAGGCGCCGCCGCCGCCCGTGTCTGTAATCTGGGCGACGGGCCTGGGTCTGCGAGACCTGCCTGCACGGCTGGAGGGGAGCAGAGGGGACCCGCATCGGGGCTGGGGCGAGGCTGGCAGGAGCGCGCATTCGGATAGGATTGTGCCCAGGCGTGGTGATGGGGCTCACAGTGGAGAGCGTGCGGGGGTGTGTGTGCATGGATGTGGGCAGACGCACACAGTGGCTTCCCATCCCGGTCTCGAGGCCGGACCCGCGCCTTCCGGAGCCCTGGCGCCAGCCAGCCCCGTTAGCGCCCGGCCTGGCTCCCCGCAGCCCGGGCCTGGCCGGGGTGGGGGCGAGGCCTCCTTGACCCCGGCCCGCAGCGCCCGGCCTGTCCCGGCCACTTAGACAAATTGCAGCTGACGGGCGCGCAGCCTCTGCGGTTGCCGCCCGCCCGTCGCCTCCCTCCCTCCCTCCCGACCCAATTTCCCCGCGCAGGCCGGGCCGAGGGGCTGCGATGGGGTGGGGGTGGTGGTGGGAGCTGGAGGCGCGACCTCTTTCCGGGCACCCGCCTTGAGTCAGGCCGGGCAGCGGGGCCCTTTTCCGATCCGGGGGCCGGGTTGGTGCCTGTGTGGCCCCGCACCCACTCTCCCAGACGGAGGGGCAGGCGAGGCCCAGCCTGGCCCAGGACAGGACAGGACAGCCCTGGCCTTTGAGGGGGGGTCGCTCTGCACCTGAGCTGGCCACCGAGGTCATGTCCCCGCGGCGCTTTGGGGATCTGAAGCCTCAGAGACTGGGGATCCCCTCTCCCTGGGAGCTCTAGACTGCTCGCTGCTCTGGGGTTGAGGCCGTGGGTATGAGGCCGGGAGTCGGCAGCAGTGAGGTGCACGTGTGCGTAGACGCGCAGGGGTCCGGGATGCTGGCAGCGTGAACAGGCCCTGCTGCTTGTGGCTTGAAAAAGGGGCACAGCGCGGGCGGCAGGGACCCCTGGGGCCGGCCCACCTGCCCGGAGAGAGGGCGGGGCTGGTCTGCGCTGCGTGCTCCTCGCTGGGCTCTGGATTCGCTTTTGGAAATGCGGGAGCTGGGAGTTGGGGGCCGGATTCCCAGAGCAGCGCCCCGAAACGTGGGCTCCCACTGCCCCGCCCCCCCTCTCCCTCTCCCTCTCCCTTTCCCACTCCTGCAGAGGAGCTACCTGGCCTGCCCCTCCCATCAGCCTCCGGGCCTCCAAACACCACTTTGCCTTTTTGACACCCCCCCTCCCCCCGTTTCCCCCTTTGCCTGTGGCTCCTCTCTGCAGGGCAGGCTCCCCTCCCTTCAGCAGAGCTGCATTCACCTGGGAGCTTCAGAGAGGGAGGCTGGTCCCAGCTGGTTTGGCTCTGTGGCTAGAACCCGGGACAGAAGGGTCCTGCGATTGATTCCCTTCAGGGGCACCTCCCTAGATGGCAGGCTCAGCCCCCGGCCCTGGTGGGGGTGGGAGGTCCTGTGAGAGGCAACCAATCTGTGTGTGTTCCTCCGTCTTCCCCTTTCCTTCCACTCCCTCTAAAAAACCAAGGGAAATATCCTCAAGTTGAGGATTAACAACAACAACAAAGCAGGCTGGCATTCACTTCCTAGGTGCTGCTAGCACTGCTGTCAGACAGGAAGGCAATACGGAGGCTCCAGGGCGCCACCCGCAGGCTGGGTTCTTGCTGTAAATACCAGACAGACAAGAAACGCTCTCCCCTTTGCCCGGGAGTCTCCAGCTCTGAGTCTGCAGGAGGGCGGCTGCCTGCCCTGTTACAGGGGGACAAAGAGCAGCGTCAGAGTCCGGCAGGGGCCCTGGCCTGTGCGGCTCAGTAGGTTGGAGCTCCCTCCTGTACCTGGGAAGGTCGGTTTGATTCATTTTCCCAGGTTTCACATAGCGGAGAGAGGGGTCTTGTATAAGAGGAGACTGATGCTGTTTCTCTCTCTCTAAAACCAACAGACAGCCTCGGCTGAGGAGCTGGAAGCCCTTAGGGCTCAGGGGTGGGGGTGAGTAGTCTCAGAGTCTTGGATCTTGTGGGGGCACGGGTCAGCTCAGAAAGGGGCCCTCAGGTGAGGCAGCAAGGAGCAGATAGGCACCAGCAGGTCAGCTGTGGGACTTGGTGACCTTGGGCGAGCCCTGGCCTTCTCTGGGGCTTAGGCTTCTCTGCACAATGGGGACCCAATAGTGCTCTTTTGGGTGCCTTCTAGTTTAGAGAGTCTCCGCAGAGCTGTGAAAGTCAGAAAAATCGGCAGCGAGGAGCCATGTCCAGCCCCAGACACAGCTGCCTGCCGCCTCCACTTGCTTCCGAGGAGCCGGCAGTGGCGATGGACAGAGCGCTGTGCACCTGCTGTTGCCCTGGGACCCCCCCGGCTCTCTCAGGTCAATCCCAGACAACGCCCTCTCTCCTGGAGGGCCACCCCAGCTCCCCCCGGCCGCCTCAGAGACCTTGGAGGTGTTTTTCCCTCCATCACACTGAGGGGACGTCCATAGTCATTTGTCCTTTGAGCAGGTAGTGCTGTGAGAATCAGGGAGGTCACGTGGCTGCCTCAAGGTCACAGGGTCAGGCCACAATCAGAAGCATGTTCCGATTGCCTCCTAGGTAATGCCACCCGGAGGTCTCCCGGAGGAGGCAGAGATGGCCTTAGGTGTTCTCTCTGGAGACCAGGCGGCTGCCGTTCCATGGCCAGCGGGCAGTAAGGTCCCCCACCCTGGAGCCCGGCTCTCACTTCCAGCTGATTACAGGCTGTGGCAGGGTCCCTAACCTCCCCAATTAGTCAGGGGCCAGGCCCAAGGCCTCTCTGATAACCTGAGCTGCAGTGGCAGCCGCCATGGGGCCAGCTTATCTGGCCTCTCTTATCCTCCCCCTCCCCCCACGCTCTCAAAGAGTTGCCCTGGCTGTGAGCAGATGAATAACCAGATTGTCCTGCAAGCTCAGCCGGCAAGTCCGGCCCTACACCCACCACTTTCCCTGACTGGAGGCGGCCACAGCTGTTTGCACCCCCCCCCCCCCCCCCCCCCCCCAGGGAAAGAAAGGCCTGAGCCAGGGAGGACTCCTCACTCCAGGCTGCCAGCCCGTCTCTGCAGGGTCAGACAGCTCCTGGCTCTCCATCTTGGCCCCATCCAGCTGCCATGGGGTGGGTTCTCAGGGGTAGAATGCACAGGTAGACTTGTGGCAGCCCTCCCCCCACCCCCCTTTTAACTGGAACACTGCTCTGGCTGGAGGCTGTGCCCGGCGAGGAAAAGCTGCCGCCCCTCCGGCAGCGCCCGCGGGCGGTGCCCAGGCCTCCTGACCTCCCAGCAGGCGGCACTCCGCCACGTGACTGCTCACCCTGCGGGCTCCCGGGCGGAAGGGACTGGCTTCAGCCACCCTGTGTGGGGCCAAGTTCTCGGCTTCCAGAACCTAGTGTGACTCAGGGCCCCCTTCTCCTACCAGACCCAGCTGGCCTCCTCTTGGGTGCCAGGCTGAGAGGGTGCCTGTGCAGGTGGCAGGGGCCCCAAGAGCCGCCCCGGCTCCTGTCGGGCAGTTGGACGGGAAGGCCTGATGGTGGCTGTTGCGTTAAGCTCCACCCCAAACCTCAACTGGCTCCCTAGGTTTCCTTCGATCCTCCCAGGCCTCTCTGGGGTCTAGAGAAGTGGGGACGAGGGCTAGGGTTATCCTGCTCAGCACCCCTTTTTGCTCCCCCTGCTCCTGCCACAGACGGGGAGTCCCACTGGCTCTGCTAACAGGAAGGAAGGCTGGAGAATGGATTTCAATCAGGCCCCACCCAGATTCCAAGGCAAGCAAGCCTCCTCCTTCCTATTCCCTCGATGTCTCCCCCTCAGTGGCACAGGTCACCCCAGGGGTGCTGGGAGCTGGGACACGGGGTCAGGCCCACGGGACTGTGCCCGGCGCTCGGCGAGGACCCTGCCCGGGGCAGCTCGGGGCCGGACACCAGTTGCAGCATGATTTATTGGAAAGACGTGCACTTTGGACGGGGCCTCGGGAACCACCGTTTCCTTCGCCGAACAGTGCGGGACCAGTGTACACGGGCTCAGGGGCAAGACAGACAGGTCCTTCCCACCAGCCGAAGGGACGAGGAGGAGGAGGGCGGCCCGCCCCTTTCTCCTTCCCTAACGCTCTGGGCCTCAGGTCACCCCATTCCAGAGGGAGGCTGACCGAGGGGAGCTGGGCAGTGGCTGGCGATCAGCGTCCGAATGCCTGGCCAGGCCGTCCATCCTCTTCCCCACCCAGGTCCCACCCCGTGGGTTAGAAAATACAAAAGTGGATCCAACGCAGGACACCCTGTGCGAACAGGAGGGGCGGCGCGCCCGCAGTCTTCCGGCCACGGCCCCGCGGACGGGCGGGCCAGCGCGCACCCAGGGGCTGGGAGGAGGGTCTGTGCTCCGTCCGGGGAGGGGGCGGCGATGTCACTAAGCTGGGGGACGGAGGCTGGTGACAGAGGAGCAGAGGCGGAGGGGAGCGTCTCCTCCTTCCTCCAGGGTGCGTGGGCCGGCCGGTCGGTCGGTCGGTCGGCCAGTCGGGAGCGGGCGGCTGGCGCCTAGGAGAAGCTGGTAGGGAAGAGGCTGAGGGGCTGACTCTCGTTGGTGGGCAGCGGAGACCGGTAGCCGTCGAAGTTCCTCGGAATGCTGCCGCTGGTGGATCCCGAGCTGTTACTCAGAGTCTCGATGCTTCCCTCGCGCTGAAGTTCTGCAAGACAAGGAGAGGGCCCGGCCCGGTCAGTGCGGTCTGGGGGTGTGGAGTGGAGGCTGCTGGTATGGAGGCGCCCATGGGGGTCCATCTCCGTCCTTCTGCAGGGGGGATCCCAGCACGCTCCCCGGAGGGGCAGGTGGCAGCTGGGCCCGCAGGGCGGCCCCGCGGAGGAGGGAGACACGCGCTTGGCTGGCGGGTGGTTCCCTTGGTGTGGGGGCCCCGCTGGGGCAGACGTATGACCACCCTGGCGATGTGCCGGGACCGCGCCGCGGACGTGCGCCCACGCCTGCACACGCACTCATGCACAGCCCGCATGCGCCCCTCACGCCAAGGCCAGCTCCCGTCCTGGGTCCGCAGGCCAGGCGGGAGGGGAGCAGCCAGGCCAGGAGGGCTGCGGCTTCCCGCCTGGCCTGTCCCTCCTCTCCCCGCCTGCCCAGAGCTCCCCCCTGGCTCAGTCGCTCGCTGGCTCATTCGTTCTCGCCCATGCAGCCTGCCTGCTGGCCAGGCCCGGGTTCGTCTTTGGCGGGAGGGAACGCCTGGTCTGAGAGGGGCCTCATCCAGTGCAGAAAGGATTTCTTTTCCCTGCGTAGCCACCAGGTCCCCCGAGACCCACTCCCTCCACAATGTACATGCTCAGAGCAGACCTGGGAGGCAGGCAGGGAGGCTCCGGCCCCTCTTCCCAGCCCCGCCTGGCATGGTCATACTGCCATCTTGCAGCCGATCCCGCCTCATTCAGCAGCGGGCACCTGACCGCCCAACCATCTTTTGACCCAAGACCGGTGCCGGGTGGTGGGTTGTGAATGGACTTTCCTGGGGGCTGAGTGCAAGGAGAGAGGAGCTGCTGCTTGGCCTTTGGGGAGTGGCCGGTTCCGACCCCCTTTCTGTCCCTCAGCGTGGGCTCTCAGACGTGGGCACACACGCCCCTGGGCAGACTCTGAGCCATGTGGTGACCTGTGACCTTTCCTTCTCCAGGGGACCCCTGCCTCGGACGGAGGGAGCCTCGGGAGCTCGGGACTGAAGCGGCAAGATATGTGCGACCGCCCCCCTGGTCCCGGCTGGCTGAGACCTTCATCTCCAGCCTCACCCGCCGCCGCCGGCCACTGCCACACACACGCGCAGCACAGCTGGCTCTGGTTAGGGACTGGGTCTCGGCCTTTGCTCCTGGGCTGGCCATTACAGCCGTCCAGGAACTAACCACCGGTCCCCACTCGCTGCAGGCTACCCCCGGAGCACTGAGGCCGCTCAGTAGCAGCAGCCGCAGGAGGGAGCGGGGAGGCTGGGTGCCCTCCTTCAGGGCGGGCGCCTGGGCCTAGGCTGGAGGGGCCTTCGGATGGCACCAGCCACATCTGCAAGGGAGTGGCTGGCACCAGACCCCCTCAGCAGACGGAGGTGTGAGAGGAGGGGAGTGTGGGTGCAGGCAGTGGGTCTGACGATGGTGGGCCCGGGATGAGGAAGCGTTAGCTGGGCCTGGACAGAGAACCCGGCTCCTGGGTGGGGCTCGCTCTCTCCCTGGCGGCGCTTCTCACCCTGATCGGGAGGATAGGTCATTGCGCCAAGGGAGGGAGGACGGGAAAGCAGAGGACAGACCTCGGGCTTCTCTAGGGAAGCTTTGGACTCCAGGAAAGTGTACTCCGCCCCCTTCTTTCCCACAAGCAAGCAGGGGAGCTTGTGAGAGACTTGTGAGGCCCCCCCTTTGCCTCCACAGGCCCTGGCCCTCATGCACAGCCATCCCGGCACTAGGGGGCGCTGACAGCAGGGCCAGGAGGGCAGGAGAGCGCACCAGCTGTCAGCGGCAAGAAAAGCAGGGGCTTCCTTGGGGTCTGGACACCAGGCCCAAGGAAGAAAGCCCCGGAGGAAGGAGCAGGAAAGGCCACATGGACGGGGGGAGGCGGGCCCCTCTCCAGAGCTGGGGGACAGGCCCCCGTTCTTGATGCAACGTGCTGACGCCTCTGCGCTGCCGAGGAAGCCGAGGAGCCCCCAGGCCGGGCCCAAGCGCGGCACCCCCACAGCCCCTGGCACAGGCCCACAGCAACCCCACCCCCAGGTCCCAGCAGACGCGCTCGTCCCATCGTGTGCCAGCGCAGGGCAGTGCTCCTGAAGGGCCCCCCCCCCCCCCATAGCTGCCTGGCTCAGGTGGTATCGGGCACAATGGGAGTGGGCAGGCTTCTCCCTCGCCCCGCGTCCCAGGGTGACCATCCTCTCCCCTCCTCTCCGTCCCCACTGCCACTGCCTGGTGAGGCCTGCACTTCCCACCTGGCTACCTTCCTCACTGACCTCCTGACCTCTAGACCCCCCATCCCACCCCCCGCTCTCCAACCCGCCAGCACACCAAAGCCGGTGGTCTGTGTACAGCACACACCTCGCCTTGCTCTCCCTCTGCCCAGAAGCCTTCGCCTCCTCGCGGTGCCCAGGATAAGGCCTAAACTCCCTTCCAGGGCCTGCCGAGGCCTCACCTCACTCAGGGTACGAAATTGAGCAAATTACAGGAATGAACTTGAGAAGTTCTGAGAGCTCTCCAGGCTCCCTCGACCCCCAGGCTGAGCCCAGCGTCCCCTGCCCCGGGAGCCGGCCCCGCTGCCCGGCATAGCCGGCCAGGTGTGCCCGTCCGGCGGCCAGCCCCGGGCCTGAGCTGCGCCTCGTCTCCGGATCCCTAGTGCCAGCCCCGGGCCTAGAACACAGCTGGCGAGCAGGGAGCGCTTCTGGGGTGAGTGAGTGAGTGAGTGAGGGAGTGAGGGAGTGAGGGGGAAGGGGCAGGGGAGAGGGTTTCAGTGTGAGCTGTTAGGGAGAGAACCAGGGCCTGGCTGGGTGTGGCCGGGACAGGACAGTGCGGTGAGTGGTGTGGGAGCGGGCGTGGAGGGGGGTGCGCACGCCCCCTCGCCTCCCCGGCCGCCCCGGCCGCCCTGGCCGCCCAGCCGGCAGCAAGCGGCAGATGGAGATGCGTGCCTTACCTTCCTCCGTCCTGAGCACACGCTTTGCTACTGTTGGGCTGCTCACGGGCGCTGGGCTGTTGGCATTGTTTTTTTTTTCCTTTTTTTTTCCCTTGTGAAAAGAAAAGCATTGAGGAGCCTTTTTTTTTTTTTTGGAAAAGAGATGGACAACGATCAAGAAGTACACGGGTCTCTGCAAGCAGGTGAGAGGGCGTTCGGGGGTGCGGGCGGGCGGGCGGACGGACGGAGGGGTGGGTGTCACGCTGGGAGCAGGGTGAGCTGCGGCGGAATCCTGGCCCAGGAGGACGGTGACATGCATGTGTCGGGGGCTGGGGACCCACCGGATGGGGTCTCAGGGATGGAACTGTAGTGACAGCCAAGACTCCCTTCAGCGTGGGAGTGGGGGGGGGCGCGCACACGGAGCACGAGGGGCAGCTGTGGGGGGGGGGGGTAAGGGCCCCGGCCCATGCAGGGACAGACGGACGGACGGCGCCCCATGCAGGTGGGCTGCCGGGAGAGGAGACAGAGACAGGCCGGGGGGTTTTCGGAGAGGCCCAGCCTCAGCGGCCCCCGCCGCCCTCACTCTCAAGACCCCCAGGGCGGGCAGCTCTCCTGCAGCGGAGCCGGGCGTCGGGCCCCCAGAAACCGGACAGGGCTGCGGGGGGCCCCGGAGCCTCCCGCAGAGTGGAGGTGTGCTGGTTGCGGGGAGGAGAGAGCGAGCTCTGAGAGAGGCGGCTGGCTCTGCAGGCCTCAGGGCAGCTCCGAGCTGCACGGCTGGCCTCGGACAGAGGCCGTCTGGCTGTGGCCGCACATCCGGGAGCTCGGGCTCTGAGCAAGAGCGGGAAGTCACCTCTGGGGGCGCAGCCTTGTGAGAGAACCGCGGGCCCCGGGAGGAAGATGGGACCCCCTGCCCCCCCCCCCCCCCCCACTGAGCCCGGCTGCCCATGCCGCCCCGGCTGGGCCCTCCCGCTCCCACGGGCTCGGGCTGGCAGTGGGCCTGCGGTGCCAGGGGCCGGGGTGGGCAGCCACAGGGACGGGGACAGGGGCGGGCTGTCGGGGAGGCGCTTTGGCTCCTGAGATGAGCGGAGGGACAAAAGCCGCTCCTCTGCTGCCCACACGGGCGGCCGCTTGCAAAGACGGGAGCCACAGCTGAGGGCAGGCTGGTCCCCGTCTGCCTCCCTGAGCTTCTCCCTGGGGTGTCCTCTCCCCCGGGAGCAGCCCTGCCCTCCCGAGGCCACCCCCTCCTGCTGCAAGGCAGGGCTTCTGGGGCCCGACCGAACGAACGGAGGCCTCTTCCTGAGCCCGTCACCTCATAAACGCCGACCACTCGGTTCCCCGTCCGCTGGGCAGGGGCGAGGCGCTGGGCACGGGTCTGCGGGGCCCTGCGGGGGGAGGGCTGGGGGCACCCGAGGGCGCAGGAGGCCCCGGGGGAGGCTCGGGAGTGAGGTCCGGCTTTGGGCTTGACCTCCAGGCCGGAGGGCAGTGGGGGCAGATGGCCAGACTCTGAGGTCAGCCCCCCTGGCTTCGGGGGGTGGGGGGGCACGTGGAGGCCTGTTCCTGGGACTGAGCGGGTCCCTGAGGGCAGGGCTGTGTGTGCGGGAAGAGGGTCTCTGAGACCCCCCGCCCCCCGCCCCGGCTCAGCCCGGGCCCCCGGCACCTCCCCTCCCTCTCCTGCCGCCCGCTGGCGTGCCCTGGCCCAGCGGCCTGCCCCACTCGCAGCCTCCCGAGCTGCTCGTTAACGGGATTAGCAGAGCAGTTTATGGGGCCCTGGCGGCAGCCGCACACCCGGCCCAGCTCGCCACCCAAGTGGCCTGTGGGAGCAGGAGGGGACGCGGGCCAGTCTCGCCCGCACCCACCGCCCGCTTGCCCCTGGCGGCGCGAGGGGAGAAGGCCGCCTCCCAAAGGCCTGAGAAGGGCGGGGTGGGGCAGCCCAGGCCAGGGGGGCCGGTGAGCGGAGTGGATAAAAGCACAAGCTCAGCCCCGGCACCTGGGCCCCCACGTCGCTGTGCCTCAGTTTCCCGCCCGTGAGGAGACCCCGGTCTGTTTCCTCCGGTGGGGGGTGGGGGCTGGGGGGAGAAAGAGTAGGGAGACTTAAGTGAGAGAACACATGCACATCGCACCCCAGAGCACAGCTCCCGGCCAGCCTGAGCGCTGGGACTGCTGGGATTGTGTCCGTGACTGTGGTCATCCATGGCCCCCCCTTCCTCCCCAGCAGGTGTCTCTGCCAGCCAGCCCCCCGCCAGCCTGCCCTCCACTGGACCTCGCGAGAGATTCTTTTTAATCAAGAAATGGCCCGCGGAGGAAGACGGCAGATACGTTTATGGCTCTCCGCTTCCCTCCTTGCCTCGCTGTAAATACCCCGCTCCGAGCTGGAAAATAAATTTCCGACCCCACTGACGTGCATCGATTTTTCCCTCCCGCGCCCACTCCCGGTGTTCCCCGTCTGCCGCGGAGTCTGCGGCGAAAGCCCTGGCTGGGCTCGGCGGTGGCCGGAGCAGCCGGCTGAGCTGCTCTGTGCTGCCCAGAGTCTGGCTCCCGGAAGGCCTGCACACAGCAAGGGTTCCATCCCCTCTGCCAGGCTCCCGGGCTAGGGCGGGGGGTGGGGAGGGGTGGGGAGGGGAGGTTAGGGGTGGGGAGGGGAGGTTAGGGGTGGGGAGGGGGGGTTAGGGATGGGGTGGGTTAGGGTGAGGAGGTTAGGGATGGGGCAGGGTGGGGAGGTTAGGGGTGGGGAGGGGAGGTTAGGGATGGGGTGGGTTAGGGTGAGGAGGTTAGGGATGGGGCGGGGTGGGGCGGGGTGGGGATGGGGTGGGTGAGGGTGGGGAGGTTAGGGGTTTTGGGTGTCTCCCCTGGACGGGCTCTGTGGAGAGGAGACCAGGGACCACAGGGCTGCTGCCAGGTCAGCAAGTGGGTCCGGATGGGGTCTGCCCTGAGCAAGAACTGGTCCCCTCGGGGCCTGCCAACAGGGCCTGGGACCCGCTGTGCAAACTGGGGCTTCAGGGCGAAGCCGAGGCGGCCAGCCGGGCTGGAATGCATCCCGCCGGGCTCAGCGACAGGCCGCTTCCTGGTGCCGCCCTGGAACGGTGGCCCAGGCGCACACCCACCCTCCCCGCCCCGCCCCCGCTCCCCCTGCAGGTCCCCTCTGGCCGGCGGAGAGCACAGGGGCCCACAGACCATCGCGGAGGGAGGGTTGGGAGGGCGGGGGCAGGTCCTCCAGGACCTCCTGTCCCCTAAGCAGGGGCCCCGCCCGCCTCCCAGGCAAGATGGGGCACTCAGGAGGGCAGCTCCCGGGCGGGGGGGCTGAGGGTGACCGGCTCCTCTGGGTGCGGGTAATAGGGGCCCCTGTGGGCCGGGGGGACCTGGGAGCAGACGAGAAGCAGGGCCCCTCCGGCCTGGTTCTCTCTGGGCTTAACACCTACTTCTGAGCACAGAGCCGGGCCGCTGATGCCTCGGCCTCTGTGCCCTCCCCGCGCGCGGCCAGGGCCCCTCCCACGGCTCCCCACTGTGCCTGCTTTCCTCCCGCTCCATGCCCCACAGCCTGGCCAGCTGGCGAGCGTGCCCACAGGGAGGGCGGCAGCAGGAGCGGACGCCGGCCTGGCCCGGGGCGGACGCCGTTCCCGAGTCCCTCCAAACACAGCTACGGAGGGACATGGCCCCACGGGGGCGTCCTCGGGCCCCTCCGCCCACCGGGAGCCCTGCCTCGGCCCCTCCGCCCACCGGGAGCCCTGCCTCGGCCCCTCCGCCCACCGGGAGCCCTGCCTCGGCCCCTCCGCCCACCGGGAGCCCTGCCTCGGCCCCTCCGCCCACCGGGAGCCCTGCCTCGGCCCCTCAGCCCACCGGGAGCCCTGCCACAGCCCCTCCGCCCACCGGGAGCCCTGAATCAGCCCCTCAGCCCACCGGGAGCCCTGCCTCAGCCCCTCAGCCCACCGGGAGCCCTGCCTCAGCCCCTCAGCCCACCGGGAGCCCTGCATCAGCCCCTCAGCCCACCGGGAGCCCTGCCTCAGCCCCTCAGCCCACCGGGAGCCCTGCCTCGGCCCCTCAGCCCACCGGGAGCCCTGCATCAGCCCCTCCGCCCACCGGGAGCCCTGCCTCAGCCCCTCAGCCCACCGGGAGCCCTGCCTCAGCCCCTCAGCCCACCGGGAGCCCTGCCTCAGCCCCTCCCAGCGGCCCTCCGTACCCAGGTCCTCCCTGGTCTTGGCCTCAGAGAAGCAGAAATAGGATCACCCGCCCGCATGACCGGCCGGGGCCCGCACCCCGGGCCGCGGCCTTCCCAGGCCCTCTGCCGGGAGGACCCTGCGTCCTGGCTGAGCCGAGCGGCCGGGGCAGCAGACTCCCCGAGGCGCGAGGCGGGGAGGGCTGAGCCGGAGGGCAGGGGTGCACGGGAGACCCTGCGGCGCCGCCGTGCCCAAGGCCCGCGGTCACTTCACTTCCCCCCGGCTTCCTCACCGTCAGGCGGGAGTGGGGGTGTGGGCTCTGGGGAGAAGGGGGTGCCGAGGGGATAAATGACGCAGAACACACGGGGCACCATGTGGAGGCCGCCCCGGCGAAGGGGTGTCCTGGTGACAAGGTGAGCTTTGCCGTCCCGGTGTGCTGGCAGCTGCGGCCCCGGGGGGGGGGGGGGGGGGGGGGGGGGCAGAGCCGAGGCAGACGCAGGGCTGGGCGGCCGGGCTCGCTGTGTCTGCGGGAGAACACGCCCGGCCCGAGGCTGCGCCCTGACCTCCCGGTGTGTGTGCGTGTCCCGTGCCCACAGAGGAGACGGGGCCTGGACGCCGGCCCGGGGCCAGGTGCCTGGCGGCCGGCCCTGCCCTCCCGTCTGCGGAGTCCGGCCTGGGCGCTCCCCGGTGGGTCCCGGCCGCCCGGGGGCCGCGGCGGCACGGGGCCTGCAGACGCGGGAGCCGCTGCCCCGCGGGCCGGGCACATCTGGTTCTCATTCCCGCGTCCGAGCGTAATTACATTCCCCGCGACGCGGCGGAAGAGTTTGGTAAGATGTGGCTTTCCCCACTTTCCATCAAGGTTAAGAAATCAAAGCCTCTCATTCCGCCAGCCTCCCCGTCCCCGGCCTGTCCTCCTCGGCAAAGGTCACAGCCGCCCTCTGCTCTGTTTTCTAGATGGTGGCCGGGGCTCGGGGACACCAGCCCCACTCCCCCCCCCCCCCCCCCCCCCCCCCCCAGGACTAAGCGGAGGCCACAGGGCAGGCTCCCCACCGAGCAAGTCCATGCACAGAGACAGCTGCTGCCCGGCCCCCCTTGGGGACACTCCGGTGTCCTCCTCCCGCCAACATGCCCTGTCGTCCTTCCTCACAATAGGAAGCACGTGGTTCTGATTCTGGAGACTCCACAGCCCCTCCTGAGACGTGCAGCTTCCCACCCTCAGGGCGGGGCGGGCACCCTCTGCCATCTCACCTCGCAGCCGCCCCCACACCGCCCGCTGGGCCCACGCATGCACGAATGCCGGGGGAGCGGGGAGAAGGCCCAGGGCAGCCCCTGAGCCTCTCTCAAGGCGTCCCTCTGACCGCTGGCCATGTCAGGCCCGCTGGGCTCTGGACCGGGGACCGGCCGCAGGGACCGTGGGGCAGTCCTGGCAGGAGGCGGCGGAGCCCCTGGACGGGCTGGGCTCTCTTCCCGGCTCCCACTCCCAGCTGAGTATCTTGTTTATGGCTTCTTTTTGCTCCGGGATTTATGACTTTCATGGTAATGGGTTCCATTCTGCTTCCTCTACGCCTACTTTTCTAATTACTGCGGAGCGGGCTTTATGGGAGCTTCTTAATAAGTCGGGGCATTTTCCCCTTTGGAAACAAACTGTCCTGCGAGCTAATGACTTCGAGTGGGTGTGGATGCTACCCAGAGACAAAGGGGGCTGGGGAGGGATGGCCAGGGCCGGGGCAGGTAGGGGAGAATCTTCCAGCTTAAACAGAGCTCTGGGGGGGGGGGGGGGGGGGGGGGGTCAGGCCAGCTCCACGTAGCCCCCGCGCTGCTCACAGCACCCCTCCCCCGGAACCAGGACCCAGGGCAGCGGGCGCACACAGAGGCAGGTGAGAGCCAGCCGCCCCGATGGCGCCGGCCCCGCTGTAACAGAGAGCACCTGTGCGCGCGGCTCCAGCGGGAGGCCTCGGCTTAGCGGTGGGTTTGATTTCTTGGCGGCATCAGTGCCAGGCCCACACGTGGGGCACCTTCATGCGAGCAAAGCGGGCTTTAAGGGAACGAACCCAGTTCCTGGTCCAGCCACCCTAGCCCGGCGGCCGGCAAACGGCGGCTCGAGAGCCACTCGAGGCTCTTTGGCCCCTTGAGCGTGGCTCTTCCACAAAAGACCACGGCCTGGGCGAGTCTGTTTTGAAGAAGTGGCGTTAGAAGAAGCTCAAAACATGTGGCTCTCAGAAGAAATGTCCATCGTTGTACGGTTGGTATTTGGCTCTGTGGACTAACGGGTTTGCTGACCACTGGGCTAGGCCAAGTCTAGTGAAGAGAATGACAGGCGGGGGGAAGGGGAGGCAGGGGGTGGGGGGGATGGGTAGGAAGGGGAAAGGTCTCTGTTGCCCACATCGGGGGCCCCAGCTGATGCCCCTGAGCCCACGCTCCGCCCCGCGCTGGGCAGAGGAGCCCAGGCCCCGTTAATGGCCGCGGGGCCGCCGGCCAGAGAGCGTGCGGGGTGGGGAGCGTGCGGGGGCGGGTGGGGAGCGTGCGGGGGTGGGGAGCGTGCAGGGGGGGGGAGCGTGCGGGGGTGGGGAGCGTGCAGGGGTGGGGAGCGTGCGGGGGGGGGGAGCGTGCGGGGGTGGGGAGCGTGCGGGGGTGGGGAGCGTGCGGGGGGGGGGAGCGTGCAGGGGTGGGGAGCGTGCGGGGGGGGGGGGGGGCGGCAGAGCCTTTGTGCTCCCTCCCGAGGGTGGCTGGTGCCCGCCCGGATTCATTATTCAGTCCTACTCGCCCTACCATTTGCTCCTCCAGGAGGAATAACAAATCTAGAAATGCAATTCCACTCTGCTGTATTAAGATATTGATTCGCCTGCCGCGGGGAAGTGCATTTGCTCGGCGGCCTTCCCTCCCTCCCTCCCGCGGGCGGGAAGGGGTTAACCAAATGTTTATCACGAGGCTGGCTTCAGAGTTGAAAGTAATGTGATCAGTAATGAATTTTGTGTTACATTAGGTTGTATAAATGGACAGACAAGCGCAGACAACAAGTGGCCAGGAGTCGGGGCTAATCTAATGATGTAAAAATAGAGACAGCACCAATTATACGAGGGGCCAGCTCCAGGCTCCTGCAGGGACTGCAAATGAATAGGTACAAATCGAATTACCCACTAATAGACGCACTACAAGAGGGGCAGTCAATGGTAAATGCATTAGGGCCCGGTGACCTCTCTGCTCTGCACAGCAGAATCCGAAAATTTGACTTCCATCTCGA